CTGTGCCCCTGCCCGAGACCCATGGAGCTCAGCCCCCAGAGGACTGAGGCCGTCAGGCCTTCGCTTCAAACGCCCCTGAGGACTGTGTCAGGCCACTGATACTTCCCGCAGGGAGAAAGGGGCCTCGGGGAGAGCCCAGGACAGCAGCGTCTGAAGGCAGGACCCGCAGGGTCTGGTTACGGTGTGGCCCCCGGCCTGGTGCCCCTGAGGGTGTTTGCGCAGCTGCAGCAGCCATCAGCCCGGCTCACAGGCCACCTGTAGCCGAGGACAGACAATAAAACACCAGGGCTCCCCTTTCTGCAGGCTCCTCCCTGGGTCACAGGGGCTCCCTGGGGCTGGCCCTGCAAGCCTTGGGAGCTGTTTGGGGTGAGACAGGGTGGGGGCCCCTGCCCTGCCAGTCACCCATCTGGGAGGTGCTCAGGCAGAAGGAAGATCGCTCAGTCCCTCGGGTCCCCAGCACGCAGCCCGCTGTCATCAACTTGGCAGATTTACAAGAACAGCCATGGCCAGCTTGAAAGGCAGCGGCAAGGAGGCCTCCCACCTGGGTAGTTCCCTGAGGAGGGGAGAGGGCTCCCCCAGGTCCAGGAGGGGAGGGCCAGCCTGAGGCCACTTCCACCTGCCTTCCCTACCAAGACCCAGTTTCTTTCTGGGCCTTGGTCCGGGGATGTGGCTGTGGGCTGAGCCCCATGGCCCTCTCCCCCAAGGCCTGGGTCAGGGCCACCCTGCAGAGCGCCCCCTATGGTCCCCACAGATGTCAGCATGGCTTTCCTGGAAGGTGGCGCTATTTGTGTGCACCTGCCAGCAGCCCCCAATGGCTGACCTCTAACTATGGGGCCAGTGCCAGCCAGCATTTTCCCTGGGCCCTGGCTGCATCCCGGCTCACACAGCCTCAAGAAAGATGCTTGGCTGTCAGGAGACCCAAGCCCGCTGCCCACTGCCAGCCCACACAGACCACCAGGCACAGCCACCCGCCACTTGCTGGAGGCCTTTGGCCACGCCGAAGCCTGGAAGGTGAGGTTGTTTTGAAGCCTGCTGACATATCCCCAGGGCGTATATTCTTCAGTGCTCCATGCAAACATGACTGGCGAATCAGGCTTAGGGTAGATTAATGAGGGTCACTTGCACTGACAGAAGTCTCCACGGCAAAGTGGGACCCATGGCCCTCACTCTGGGAGAAATCAAAGGCCTGGCCATGGGTTTAGGCTGAATCCCGGGGCCAAGCAGGCAGACTGGACCTCGGTGGTGCCTCACCAGGCTGTTGACTCCCGGCACCAGCAGGCTTTTGGCCATGCTTGGTGCCCTGCCCCTTCCCCAAAACAGTGAAGGGCCGGCAGGCTCCTGGCTAGAGGACGCGCACGCGCTGCTGGCCCTGTCCTGGTGCATGGGGTGGGCCAGAGGGCGGTGGCCTGGGCCTGTCCTGCTTGTCCTGCTCAGAGCCTCACGGGGCTGAGCACACGCGGCCCAGATGGTTCAGTCCAAGAGCAGGTCAGGAACGTTAAAATAGTTTGGCATTTGGAAAAACTGTCTCATTTTAATCATTTATACTTGTTTTTTATATTATGTAAATAAACAGATTGGCCTATAATACTGAAAAACTCAAGGAGGTTTGAAGCACAGAGTGGGTGGGCATCCCTTTGGTGGGACCTCCTGAGGCAGTGCTGTCCCCAGCCGGAGTGCCACCGCCCCAGAGTGGCTGGTGGCTGTTTGCGGGCATGCTGTGGACTCTCTTCTGTGTCTCCATTTCTTAAACCACTTAGTTCCCTATATGGATGCCCTGGGCTGTTCCCCGGCCCCAGGGAGGGGCAAGGAGGTTACTTCCAGTTAGTTCTGACATAACCAACCCAGGCTCGGCGGGCATCCTTGCCCAGCTATCTCAGCACTTGTCCCAACACCCCAAGATGAGCAGATGTGTCTGCCAGGTCATTCGCCCCTGGAACTGCAGGTCATGCAGGGTGTGAAGAACTGTGTTTGTGGACAAAAATTTGCTCAAAAATATTCATTGCAATATGCCTTATAACCAGGAAAATTTGAAACAAGAAACACCTAAGTGGCCATGGCTCACAGAAAGGGTGAAATGCTACCCAGGCATTAAAACAGTGAGAAGAGGTTTCAGCCCAGAGGCTGGCAACAGGCTACCTGCTCAACCGCCAGTCCCTCTGCCTAATTCTGCTAAGCCCCGGCTTGCCAGGAAACCTCCACGTGCTGATGCCTCATTGCACGTGGGCCTGTGACGGCGCCTGGTGCAGTGGAGGTGCACGGTGAGTAGAAGCAGTTTGCACGGTGCCGGGCAGACACTGTGACTGGCCTCTACTGCAGACCAGCTCAGGGGGTTGTGCAGGCAAGTCTGTCTTGGCGGACCACATGCTCCAACGTTGGGAGGCTGCAGGAGATCTGTCTGCTAGCTAGAGATGATGGTGGGGACAGGCAGACACAGCAAAGATCCAAGGGGTGTCCCATGGTGTCTTTAATCCTCTTCCTGTCGATCTGCATCTTTTTGTTGTTCTGCAATGGACACATGCTTTGGAATAATAAACAATCAACGTTGGTTATTGTGAAAAATATAAACTGTATATCCAGGATGACCTTCAACCTCCTTTCAGGAAATCCTACCTCAAAAATCCAGAATTCCACCGGACATGGTCCACATTCCTCCTCGAGCATTCAGCATCTCAGCTTAAGATTTTTCTGAGTCACATTAATAGTTTCAAGCAAACTCACAAAAGTGGTTTTTTCCTTTTTTTTCTTTTCGTTCTTTTTCTTTTTTTTTTCACCTTTCCTCCATGTCTCCCCATCTTTCAACTATGTAGTTTTTTAAAATCAGAAATTTGTAATGGGCAAGTCTGCATAAAACATTTATTTTCTTTGATCTTGCAACAGGGGGAAATGGTGAATAACACCCGGCTTCAGAACCAGTGAGTCACAGGTTTTTAACAGCAGCTTTTGCGAGATCCCAGACTGGAAACCTATTGGCAGCCAGCATGCATGTCATTTTGGGGTCAGCTGGGAATCCACGTATCGGGTGTCCCGCTCTCGGAATTCCCCTGCTTTTAGCCACAGTGGGCAGTGCCTCCCTGCAGACATGGGTGACTGTTGGCTTGGTGAGACCTTTTCCAAGAGCTGGCTGATCCAACAAAGTGCCGTGACAGGAAGCTGTGCACTCCACCATGAAGGTGACAGCATCCCTGCCTGCCCACTCGGCCACGGCACTGGGACGCGCAGGCTGGCGGCCAGGACAGCATCTGTGCCTCCGAGTTCCAAGGCCGGAGGTCGAGGTGCCAGCACATCCAGGGTCCAGGGACAACCGCCCCTGATCCAGGGCCTCAGTCTCCTCTCTGTGTCCCTGCAGTGGGGTACAAGGCAGCTCTGGGGACCTTGGTAAGGACACTAACCTGCTCACGAGGGCTCCTCCTTGTGACCTCACTTCCTCCAGAGGCCTGCCTCCTAGCCCCAGCCTGGGAGGCCAGGGCTCTGACAGGTGGCCCGGGACTCCCCAGGCTCCTGCCCCACGAGTCTCTGGAGGCGGCAGACACCCGGCTCAGCATCGCTTCCGACAGCCGGTACTGCCAGGCTCACAGCGGATGAGACTGAACTGAACCAAATTTCTGATGGATTTCTTCTTCCATAGAAATCACTAATATTTTTTAAATCACAGACTATGAAAAGGAAACTTTTCATCCTAACTTTATGACTGATTGTACATCAGAATCATGCGAATGGCCTCCCAGCACTGGAGACAGCAGAGCCGACCTGCCAGCAGGCTGAGTGAGGTCCAGGCTACTTTGCTGTTAGGCAGCTCTGTCTGGGTTTAAATTCCAATTCTGCTTATTAAAAAGTGTGGATTTGAGCAAGTAATTGAACTTTTTCAAGCCTCAATTTTGTCTGAAAAAGAGTGGGACCCATACAGCCTGCTTCAGGCCATCGTGGGGGCTGAGCCGAGGGTGACAGGGAGCCTGGTGCTCATGCTCCTGGTCATTTCACACCCTGTGGTTTCGTATAAACCGCTAGGACTGCACTGCTGTCACCAGGCTGCAGCATTCTGTGCCCAAATATGCAAATCGGTTTCCAGGGCGACTCAGCCGTGGGGTGTCCCCTCCACAGCGGGAGCTTCACCTTTCCCACCCAGGAGGAAAGGGGCTGCTTCTGGACAGGACAGTGAAGGACCAGGGCAGGCCCAGCCCCCACGAGGTCACCCCGCCCACCGCTGGTTCGCGGGCAGAGTCTGGCTGGGATGCAGCCTCGTCAGCTCTGTCTCGCCCTCTGTGCTGCCTGCACGCTGCAGTGGCAGAGCCGCGTGAGCCCCAGACAGGCCGGCCGCTGGCCCCAGACAGCACTCCTCTTGCCCAGCCGTCAGGGCCGTGGCGCAGGGCCTGGGAGGCGGGCTTTGAACGCGAGCTTGGCCTGAGCCTGCCGTGTGGCCCCGGCCCAGGCTCGGTGTCTCGCTGCCGTTCAGCTCACCCCCAGATCCAAGGACGTCTGACGCTGATTCCCCTGGTGGCACGCGAGCAGGCAGTCAGGGTGAGGAGGAAATCCGCCACCGTGGTGCTTCCTCCTGGAAGGCACGCTACGCACACTGCTCTATGGCAGCACCGTGGGGTGCAGAGACCCCACCTCAGAAGCCGCTGTCTCCCCTGGGTGCCTCCCAGGCCGAGTCCTCTGCAAACGTCCCCTGACAGCTGCCTGGTGAGTGACCAGCATGTGGCCTCCGTGTCTATTTATAGGCATCTTGTTCAATAAAGGTCAAGCTGGCCTCCCTGACATGCAGGCCACACGTCAGAGCCTGAGACCTCCACTCCCTCCGATGTCACCACACAATGGAACCAGCTCCCTGGGTGAGGCTGCTCCTGTAGCTGGGAAGATATCTGCTAATTGTCAGCATCAAAGTGACAGCAGTTAGCCAAGAAGACACGCTCACCTGGAGAAGCCAGTGGGAACGACGTCCACTGAGAGATCGAGGTCAGTGTCACCGGCGTGAGCCCTGTAGGCACCAGGAGCCCCATGACACGGGCTCAAGGACACAGCACCATTTCTGGGGTGTTCTTGCCAAGAATGCATGTCCTCAGTTCACTCACAAGGAAGCACAGACAGCGATTCGGACCAGGTAACAGGTCAGTGAAGGGAGGGTGAACCGGGACAGCCCAGACTGCGGGGCACAACGCAGGGCGGGGTCGGGCAGTCCTGCAGGACGGGAAAGGGCAACCCTGTCAGCGCGTGGCTCGGCCCTCGTCTCCCCACCCGGGGGCCACGGGGAGGAGCCCCAGGGAGGATGGAGGTGCTCTGGGTCATGGTCATGGCTTTTCTGGGAAACTGGAATTAGTTTGAGATAAAAGGGTAGAAAAAAAGAACATGTCTGACAGCATTCAAAACACTTATTCAGCTGGAAACCGAAAGATGCACACGCCACTCCCACAGTGGGGCTGCAGAGGAAAATGCTTTAAAATGTCACCCTGACTCACGAGCCACCAAATTCCCACAGACACAAGTGTTCACCCCCTGGTCCGCTCTGCATTCGCCCAAACGACCCAGAGCTTCTCAGGCAGGCGGTGCTGCGGCTCCCCCATGTCCTGGCCCCCTGAGTCCCTGTGGTGGGGACAAGGCATGCCCACTGTGCAAGACGCCCGAGGCGTGTGGAGGCGGCAGAGCTGTCTTATGAAATAAACCTTAACACTTCTGAGAAACCTCCCTGGAGAACCGAAACGGCTTTCATTTCAGATGGCAGTTGGCACACACATGTCCAGGATATGGCTCTCATGCCAGCGATGCTGGGTGGGAGCTCCCAGCCCGGGGTCTGTTCCTTGAGTCACCTCCATGGGCAGCTGCACAATTGTCCTCACAGATGCCTCTGGACACAGCCACTGTCTGGAGCTTCGGTCCCTCCGTGCATGCACGAGACCCTCCAGACCCCTCCTCCCAGGAAAGCTGCTTCCCTTTGGCACCTGTGAAGCTGTCTCTTGGTTTCTCTTCCCCTTCGCCCCTGGTGTCCCAGCCCAGCCCACTCCTCATCCCTTGCAGTACCTCATCTTCTGCATGCTGACAGCATACATCCCACCTGCTGGCCCGCGCCTGCCGGTGCATCAGGAGCATTCGGGGCATCCACTCAGCCTGTCGGGAGCAGGGCCCGCCTGCCCACCAGCTCCTGCCGCCCATCTGTGGTCTGCCCAGTAGACCAAGAGAGGCCCCAGCTCCTGTCCTCACCCCTCCTTCTGTGCGGGGACCCAGCTCAGCCCTGTCCCTCTCTGGAAGGGTGCAAGGTCTGAGCCCTGACACCCATCCTCTGCCACACACCAAGCCCAGGCCACCTTACTACCCACCTGGCCCAGCAGCCCCAGGTGCAGCCCCGTGACCCCTGAAATCAACTCCAACCCACCACTCCCAGCTGGAGAGGTGTCACTGTCCCCTCTGTGCCCAGGACGAGGCCATGGTCCTCAGTGCCGTGGAGCACTCCACAGCCCACCCTGCGCCTCTCCAGTCCCAGGCCACATACCCGGGGGGCCCCTCGGTGGGCTGCCACCCTCTGAGGCGGCGACCTGTGCTGTTTGCTGTTTCCTCCTATCTCAGGGCAACGCAGGGCGAGTGTGTGACACACTTTTCCTCCCTCAGCAGAATGTGACATGCAGGGCTTTGGGTCCACATTTGCACGGGCGGAGCCGCACATCTCCTAGTTCTGGGAGGCTGTGCACATGAGCCTGGTCCTCAGGACATTTCCCGGCGCTGCAAGCTCCTGGAGGTGAGTGGCCAGGGGTCACCCATCAGAGGCCTGAGGTGCCCGCGCTGAGAGCACCCTGGTGGGCTGTCGCCCTCCCCCACGGCGAGGGACACTAGCTCCAGTTCATGCAGGGACAGCTTGAGCCCATCTGTCACACCCGTCCCCTGACAGTGACGAAGTGCCAGGAAGCAGCTTCTTGCTGGCTGTTGAGGAGGACCAGCTGCTGCAGGCGACCCTGAAGGTGCCAAGCTCTGGGTCATGCTTTTGCAATGGAATGTTTTAATCGAGATATTTAGTTAAGACAAACAAGACTTTCATAATATCTCACTTGCTGGAAAATCAGGAGATTGGAAAGCCTTGAAGGGTGGTTAAAGGGAGAAATCACAGAACTGAAATTAAGCCTCAGCCAGGACCCAGGTGGGGTGGGTGGGAGGAGAGCTCTCCTGCCACCTGGTTCCTGACTATGCAGGTGATGTAGCACCCCAGGACACCTGTGCCGGGAGCTCAGAATGCCCTTGGGCCCCCACAGCAGGTGTACAAGGTCGAAAGGGTTCTATCTGCAGAGCTGAAAGGTGGTCAGTGGAGCCTGTGGAGGGCAGGTGCCAAGCATGGGGGCAGGGGGTGCACGTGGGACACCTGCTGGAGTCACTCTGAGCTGAAGATGTCCTGGTGCAGGAGGGGCAGCCAGCAGAGGGCATGAGAGCTGAGAAGGCCCCCAGGTGTTGGCCTCACTGTGCTCAGAGTGCCCCATCTCAACATGACAGTTGTGCCTGCATGAAATAAAGGCATTTCCCTGGAAGTGTTGTAGAGTCCCCAGGAGGTCAGTTCAGGAGCTGATGAATCCCCACATACTCAAGGGGCTCAGGGGCTCAAAGAGGAAAAGGCAACTGCCTCCTCCACTTGGGAATCACCTGTGAAATGCTGTCTTCCTTTTGAAGGGGCCAGTTCGAGAGCTTCCACGAGCAGAGATCCTTGGGGTCAGAGGAGTGTGTGCCTCAGTCACTACAGAGGTCTTTGTGCAGGGGGCTTCCAAGGTCACAGGATCATCTTCACCTCTCCTCAGTTTTAAAGAGTTTCTGTGATAGTCATGTATTATTTAACTTAAATCAATAGTGGTTATTTGCTGACAAGTGTTAAAAATAAGTGTAGCAATTCTGCAAATGAACCTGGGTGATCATCAAGTGGCATTGTTCACCAAAACCCCTGCATAGCAGACACACCGAGATGCCTGTTGTCCCTCAAAGTCCGGTGGAGGAAAAGCAGCAGAGAGGGCTGGTGTTGTCAGTTCTGCCTCTTACTGATTGTGAATACAGGCCCTCACACCAGCAGTACGCTGTTTGCCAAGAGCTTTCACTGTCGTTCCCAAAACCCTGCTAGCCTGTGGGAACAAAACACGGTTGATAGAAAGGCAGTTCTGCTGGGTTTTTCAAACACCAAGTGAACAATGACAAACTTTGGATCAGAGAGTAATTTGAGGGTGTATTATATGAAAGTGAGACATTTTAATATACATACAGTACCTAAATTAAATGCAGCACAATAATTTACTTTACATTTCTTGCTGAGTCATGGATTTCTCTTACATTACTAAATGATGGAAACTGTACATGACTTGCTAGAAGAGGAACTCATATGAATATTATTAAAGACCATATTTAGTTGATTGTATACTTCATACATTAACAATAGATAATTTAAAGAAATTGCTTAAGACTTGTTTTCACATGATATTCAAAATTGATGGAATTTTGAAATAAATCCTGAGAAATTATCTACCACTATTAAGTGCCCACAAGTCAAAGAGGGAGCGCAGGTTTTTGCCTGGACAAGAATCTTTAAAAGCAGGTGCTTGAGGAGGTTGTGCAGGGAACCTGCCACCTGGGACATTCGGGCCATGAGGCCAGTCACTGGGCGTGTTTGGAGGGAGCCTGTGCCCAGGGGAGTGGAGATAGGGCGACCCCACAGTCTCCTGCTCCCGCTTGGGTCCAGGAGCAGGGCTGAGCACTCTTGGGTCCAGGAGCAGGGCTGAGCACTCGCAGGGCTGTGTTGAGGGCTGGGGGCTCAACCCTCAAAAAACTTTCTGTGGTCCCGCCCTCAGAAAACTTCAAAAACGCATGTCTTCTCTAAGTTCAATTTCTACTCGCGGGTATTGTTTGCTGGGTGTGAACTGTTCTGAGGCCACGTGGGTACTAAGAGGGGCAGAGCAGGAGACGAGGACATGTGCCTGCTGCCGCAGGGAACTCTGGACTGGGCGTCGGGGGCCTGCTTCCCCACCCACCCCGCAAATCTGGTGAGCAGCCTTCCAGGAGAAGGGTCTCACGTTCCCTGTCTATGGAGCTGGGGGCAAGGTGGGGCTCCGAGGCGCAGGCGGCCGGCCCCTGGCTCCTGGCGGTCAGTGCACCCGAGAGGCACCACACAGCCTCGTGCCTGAAAGATGTTCCCTGCACCCCGGGCAGCTGCTTCTGGCAGGAACTCCTCTTTGTTCTGCCAGGTCCCTTTGTCATGTGCAGGCAGGGCCTGGGGAGTGTCCGACTTCCCCTCTCCCACCAGGAGGCCGAGCTGGTGGCGGTGTGCAGAGCGGCCTGCTGTTTCTCCAACCACCTCTGTCCACGGCATGTTGCTGCATCTCACCCCCGCTCTGTCCCACTGTCCGTGTGTCCCCAGGATGGAAGCCCCACCCTGACTCAAATCTGTTTTCTGAGCTCTCTCCAGAGCCCTCATACCCGGCTGCAGCTCAGACCCTCCGCACCTCTGCCCGAAGCCTGAGCCACCTCCACACCGTTAGCCCAGGGGCAGTCCCTGGTGACACACGCCAGAGAGGTGGGGACCGCGTGGACTCCTGGAGCTGAGGGCGGGAGCTTCCCCGGGGCTGAGCTGGAAAGAGGGAGTTGGGGATTTTAGGAGATAAATCTGACACTTTGGTGATGGTGGAGGGACCTGGCACAAGACCCACAGAGGGGTCAGGCTCTGATGCTGGCTTTCCCGGAACCAGGTGCCAGCCAGAACTGGGCGCAGGATGCGCGTGCAGCTGGGCGTTTGGATCAGGAGCTAAGCTGCGAGTTTTAGGTGAAGCTGGAGATGTAGGACAGGAGGGGGCTGAAGCTGGAGGGGCTGTTGTCACTCCTGCCATGGGGTGCCCAGAAGGCCAGGCCTGTGGTCCTGACCCCCAAGCTGTGTAGAGCTGCAACCAGTGCGGGAGATTCTGCCCAGCAGCCCCGTAGGGGGGATGCCCCGCCTCCAGGCCCCTTCCCTGGGGTTTCTCTGAGTCCTGCGCACTGTGGCCTGGGAAACCCAGTGGAGCGAGGGGCTGAGAGACCTTGGGGGCTGGAGGTGAGGGCTGGGCTGGCCGTGGGGGCCCTGCTAGAATGTAGAGCAGTCGAGAACAAGGGTGGGGCCATAAGAAGTGTTTCTCTCCTTCCTTCTTTCTTCCTAGGTCTAAATTTGGGAAAATTCACAACCTAAGGGCTGGCGCCCTGGAAATGGCCCTGAGGGTCCATCTCCTGGGCCCTGGCCTCCGCCCACACCACCCCGATCATCAGAGGAAGGCCATCTCAGTGGCACAGTCCTCCTGGCTGCAGGAGGGGACCACATCCTGTCTGACTGCAGCTCCTTGTAAGCTGTGCAGGCCCTGCTGCCAGCCGCTCCCTGTGTGCTTGGTGAGGGGAGAAGCTTCCCCCACCCAGCGAGGGGGCCGGGAGAACTGCCAGCTTGCCTGTTCCCACTGGGGCAGGGAGGGGCAGAAACCAGGCTCAGCATTCCGGGGCCCCTGGGCCGGCCCAAGGTGATTCCTCTGTCTTCCCCAAATATCTGGTCTCCCTCAAGCCCAGACACTGTGAGCCACCCCCTTCAGGTCTTGGCAGCAGCATGTGGCTGGATGGACACACACGGACAGGGCCCCAGACCTCAGATGTGCAGCTCATGGGGTGACTGTGTTCCTGGGGCCCGGGTGACTGTCACTCACTCAGGACTGACACTGCCTGTCAGTTCGCCGCAGGCCAAGCCTGTTGGGTCTCCAGAGCATGGGTGTGCGTACCCCGTCCTGAACCGCACAGGCTGGTTCTCAGAGTGCTGCGGGCGGGGCCCTGCCTGTTGCTAGGCCGGCGGGTGACTGAGGTGAGGAGGTCAGAGGCAGTTAGCGGCATGGAGCCGGTGGCAGAGCGAACAAGGCCCTCTGAGACCAGGACCCAGACCCTTCAGACGGGGCCCCTGGGCGGGTCCACGTATGGCCTGCAGCGAGGCTGACTGAGGGATGGATGCCTTCAGAAGCGGGAACACCGTACCACAGAGGCCCCTGCGAGGCAGCACCCATTCCGCTGCAGAGGGCCCTGAGCCGCCTTGCCTGGCCCGTCCTCCCCGTCGGAAGTGGGTCTGCACCGTGGCCCCGGCACCTCCTCCAGCACATCCGGCTGCATGGAGGCAAGCGCCTGTAAGCCCGACTTGTGTAAATATTTACTGGGATGATCAGGCTGCAAGACTGGAGGTTGCTTCCCCATCACAAAATAAGCAGGAAGACGAACCGGCAAGTTCCCAAAAATTAAGTGTCAGGGCAGGAGGCCTGGGGTTGTTGGAAGAAGCCCCACTCTGGCCCCTCACCCCAGGCTGCAGGGTGGGGAGGGGCTGGGGTTGCCTGCAGAGAAGAACCTGCCTCCCAGGAGATGGCTGCTGGGGCTCTGTAAGGGGCCCAGGGGGACCTTGAGCCAGAGCCAAGGCCCCTGGGCAGCCACCAGCTTCAGCCTGGTGGCCCAGAAGGCTGCTGATGGGTGATTGGCAACTCCAGGGTCTCTTTAGAAAAAGAGGTGTGACAAGTCAGTCCACCAGCGTGTGCAGGGGGCCGCGGGAGCCACCCGCAGTGAGCCTGGGGTCAGACTCTAAGGAGCCCCGGGCAGGAGGGATGGCAGAGTGGGCTGCAGGCCCACGTGCAGCTCAGATAGTACATGTGGCTCCATAAGTTCCCACCCCCGGGATCCTGCACTGGGACACCATGCTGGTGGGGTGTGCGCGTGTGCATACATGAGCGAGCACAGGGGCATGTGGGCGTGAGCACTGTGTGTGTCTTGCAGAGGGGCCGTGGCTGTGAGCTTTGGGTATGTGCTGGGCTCTGAGGGGACAGGAGGTGGGGTGATGGCAGTCCCCACAGGAAGAGTGGGTGGACGGATGGACTGATGGGTGGACGGACGTAGGGATGGGTGGGCGGAGAGAACGGCACGATGTGCATGGAGCCATGGAGAAGCTGTACTGAGAAACACTGGGGGCAGACTTACTGCCCCCTCAGGCACGTCTGAAGAAGAAAAGCACCGTTTCTATGCAATCTGTCACCACGCCGGTCCTTGGCATTCCGATGACACTCTACAGCGTATCCAGAGCCAGCCTCAGCCTCCACACTGTTTGTACCTTTTCAGCCTCAGTGACTGAGCATCATCTCCATAAATTCTGCCACGAACCCCATGCAATATTCCTATTCTGCTGCCTGAAGACTGAGAAATGTGACTCTCTTTCCCCTACTGAGCAGCCTGCAGGTAGACAAGGGGACCCCCCACCGCAGCGTGTGCTGGGGCCAGGCCCTCCTCATGAGCTCTGCAGCCGGCCCCAGGTGGCCTGGATGCAGCCCACTGCCTCTTGGCTCATCTCCCCAAAGCACACAATCCATTAGAGCCCATCGTCGGCCACAGCCGGGTGCCGTGGGACCTACCACACCCCAACCCCGCTCATCCAAGGCACACCGCCCTCACCGACCCAGGGCCTCACACAGGTTGGGTGGGTAGGGGTGCTGGGCCCCTTGGGCGGGACCTGATTTTTTTTTTTTTTGGTATCATTAATATACAATTACATGAGCAACATTGTGGTTACTAGATTCCCCCCATTATCAAGTCCTCACCACATACCCCATTGCAGTCACTGTCCACCAACGCAGTAAGATGTTATAGAGTCACTACTTGTCTTCTCTGGGCTATACTGCCTTCTGGCCAGGGCCTAATTCTAAGGAAGGAATCAGATTTTGATGTTCAATGTTCTCTTAACATGTGGCTTTACCAGCTATCACCAAATACCAACAGGATCAAGAGATGTTGTTCTCTCCGTCTCTCAAAAGGTAAACGCTGTTGTTATAAACGGGTCCCATATCATACCACACTGCCAATAACATAGTGTGCATTGATATGCTAACAGATCTTACCATCATCCTGTGGATACAGTTATCTGTAAAAGTGCTAATTTGATAAGTGGGACTATGTAAGATGACAGTAACTCTGGAGGCCTGTGCGGTCACCTTGCTTCTTTCAGCCGAGGCATCCCAGCCTGCCAGTGTGGGTCTGGGCGGCTTTCCTGGAAGGCTCTCCTGGGGACACTTGGGTCTGTGAGCTTGTTCCACTGAAGGGGAGGCACAGGGACCTCCAACAGTCCGAGAGGCCCTGGGGGGCTCTGAGCTCCGCCTCATCTCCTGCACCTGGAAAGGGGCGGGGCTCTCAGTTCAAATGGGTGGAGCCAGTTCCCATCTAGCCTTCACAGGCCTTTGTGGGAGGGGGCACTGCAGGAACTGGGGGCTCAGGCTCTGAATCAGACGGGGCAGAATTAACTCTGTCCCTACTCCAGCACTTCGCATCTCCGGTCCCCACGTCTCACCTTTAAGCTGAGGAAACAGGCCCAACCTCAGGGGACGAGGTGGCCTCACCCCTGGAGGGGGAGGGGTGCACGGAGCAGCTGGACCATGTTGACAGGGCCACTAGGAGCTGTGGGCACACAGCGCCGCTTCCCCGAGCAGTGTCCCCTGGCTGGAGGAGGCGCAGGATGGGCAGCTGCAGTAGGCCATGAAGTGGGCCTTTGCCAAAGGGCAATGGGGTCCTGGAAAGTCCCAGGGAGAGGAAACGGCGAAGGGAGGAGGGCCCGGCGGGTGGTGGGGGTTAGCGGGCAGGAGGGCAGGCAGAGTGCCCCGGCCTGTGCAGAAGCAGACTGACGGCCCGGACCTCCTCCACCTCCTGCAGCCAGAGGCCTTGCTGGCTGGGGACCCCGCTGGTGTCCAGCCCCCAGGGCCGGGACAGGTCCCAGCTCGTGATCATGGGCCTTCTCGGAGGTGCTCCTCTAATGGGGGACCCATAGGTGGCACAGCGCCGGACCAGGTCTGTACAGGAACGTGGATGGAGAGCCAGAGCCACAAAGGGTGCTTGAACCTGGGCCTGGGGGGCCCCTGCGGATGTGAACCCCGGGCTCGTCCCTCCAGACTTGTTCCACACGCCAAACAGCATGGCACCCGAGGCCCTGGGAACCTGAAGCCACATTGCCCTTGGCTTTGTTGACCTCACACCTTCGATGTGCACAAATGTTTATTAGCATCTACTGGGGGCCAGCTTGGGGGTCCTGCCCTGCAGGATCACAATATAGGAAAAAGCTAAATATAAGACAAATAGCCACACATTCAAATACAAAATTGCACATTGCCTTAAGTGTGGGGAACGCCAAGTACAGGTACTGTCCAGGAGGATTTGATTGGGTCTGGGATCAGGTGAGGCCTCTCTCAGAGAGAGGGTTACAGGGGCCACCACGGTGCTGAGGGGCTCGTGGAGAAGGGAGGGCCAGGCTGGGGGACGGTCACGCGGAAAGGTTGACACAGAAGCAGCTTTGGAAAGAGTTGCTCAGGCCCAGCAGGATACCGGGCTGTGTCCCAGGAACCTTCTCACCTCTGGGCGAGCAGCTGGCAAGGAGGTGAGGTGATGGCCAAGAGCCGGCAGCCCCAGCAGGAGGGAGGGCTTCCCTGGGTGGGTGGGGGTTGGAGGGCCCTCTGAAGGCACCCCATGCCGCATTGCCCAGCCCTCTAGGCCACGAGGGCCCTGACCCTATGCCTGCCCCCTCCCCTCCAGGCTCTGGACCACATTGGCATCAGGCACATGTCACCACTGGCCTCCAGTCCCCAGTACCCTCCCATCTTGTTCCTGCTCCTGGTATTTCACGGCCACTATAGGCAAGCCCCCAGGTGACCCCATGAGGGCTCTTCTCAAACTCAAACATCTTCAAGGGTCCCAGGGCAGGTCAAAGGGAATCTGGGAAGCCGTCCCTGTGGCGTCTACACCCTGGAGACCCTGCCTCTAGATCCCTCTGCCTGGGTTATCTGTGCCCAGCCCAGGGCCAAGCCCAACACACCCAGACGTTTGGGTGAAGAAAAGGCTTCCTGCTCATCTCTGGTTCTCTGGGGAAGCCAAGAGGTGCTCTTTGAGGCAGGAGGCCTTGGACTCAGTGTAGTGGTTTGTGGGTATAGGGCACAAGGAGCCACGTGGGGGCAATCCCAGCCAAACAGCTTCGGTCTCTGAGGGATTTTCCTGGAAAATTAGTAAGTGGGGGCTGGTTGTCATTTCAAGGAATCACGAAGTTTCTCTTTGCGCCGCCAGGCCTCCAGCATCCACAGCAACGCACCCGCACTTCACTGCAGGTTTGCTGGGAAAAGGCCCCCGTGCCCAGGCTTGCCGTAATCTCACCAACACTTTTCAGGACAAGCATTGAACTCACTCTGCATGTTCGCCTCGAGCCACACTGAGCCTTCTGTGCGGTGTTTCGTTCCACCCTCAGGGAACCTGTGACACCAGGACCTCACACCATCTCCATTTAAACAGACCACAGGCTGAGCTGGGTGCCCACAGGCATAGAGCTGGGAGCTCTGGAGCCAGAGATCACACTCGGTGGCCTCACGTACAATCGGCCATGCCCAACACGGCCATGCCCACCAGGCCACGCTTCCTGTCCACCCTAGGGTCTGACTGGGCAGAAGCCCTATAGTATCAGCAGCATGACTGGTAAATGTGTTCCTGCGGTCTCGCCCACCTGCCTAGGCCCTGGGGCACCTTCCAGCCCTCTTCCAGGGGCCCCTTGTGCAGCCCTGACCTGAATCAGAGCCAAACGCAGGAGGCAGCGGGCGACCCGACCCTGTGCGGACTCCCACTCGACCCCACCCGCCTCCCCGGCACACCTCTGTGCTGCTGGCTCCTTGACACAGCCCTGGCACAGATGGGATTCGGCAATACACCATGAGGCCCTGAGGAGCGCTGCCTGTCCTAGGGTGGAGACACACTCAGGGCCCCTGCTCCAGCCACATCTGAAACACCGTGTACAGACCAAGGTGGACAAGACCTGCAGCAGGGAAGCCCGGGCAGGACCCCACCCTCCCAACGGCTACTCGGAGGGCACCCCATGACTACCTGGGGGACCCTGCCCTCCCCATGGCTACTCAGTAGGACCTCACCCTCACGCACAGCTACTCAGGGGGGACCCCGCCCTCCATGGCTACTCAGGGGTCCCCAACCACCCCCAGGGCTACTGGCAGTGACTCTACCCTCCCCCAGCTACTCAGCAGGGACCCCACCCTCCATGACTACTCAGGGGGACCCCATCCTCCCCACAGCTACTTGGGGGAACCCCACCCTCCCCGACAGCTACTTGGAGGAGACCCCACCCTCTTCAGCTACTCAGGGGCACAGCCTGTCCTTCCTGGCCTCATGAGGTCCTCCTGAATGTCACATCAGCAGGTGCCCAGACATTGTATTCCAGGCAGGTCGTGCTCCAGGGTGTGTCTCCGTGTCCTGTGAGCGTCCATCGGATGTGCAGCCCTGTCCCTGCGGACGTGGGTGATGCCATCACAGTGACGATGCAGGCTGCTGCTGGCTCAGCCCTCTCACATCCTGCTGTCATTGCTCACTGGCCCTGCAGCGAGGGTGGCATGCGCTCTGAGGCCCCCTCATACAGCTAACAGAGCTGGCACTGCCACGATCACCTTCAAAGGTCAATTAAACCAGATCCTCTCCTTCCCCTTGACGTGTTACTGGCACTCAAGTCAGCCTCTCTCTTTGCAGCTGGCAGGACTGGTGTGTTTCTTGTCTGTCCGCCAGCAGCAAATTAGGTACGTCCTTTGCAGAGATGTCCATGGAAGGGAGCAGCTTCCTCCATCAGGGACACCCACAGGGCAGCCAGAGGACCTCACCCGACACCTTGTGACCTCTTCCGCCACTGGGGCTTCCTGGTGTGCCCGTGGTCCTTGAGAACAGGCCCCGTGTCAGCCTGGGGTGGCAGTGTGGGGTGCACCCTGGCTGGGGACGTGCAGGCTCTACCGCTGGCAGCCAGCCTTCCCGGGCAGGGGGTGAGGAGGGGGTGCTCCTGAGATGGCACCTGTGCCAGAGCCCCAGAGTCTCAGAGCCTCTGAGGGCGCCTCTGGCAAGGCCGACCCCAGGCCTACTGCTCAGCCCCAGCCAGCCTCCTGAGCTGCAGAGTCACTCTTGCCACCCACGGCAGATCGGGCAGGTGGCTGGTGGCCTGGCTACCCCGGGGCTTCTGGGAGTTTGTGCCCTGCTGCCTCCGAGCTGCGCCCTCGCCTGGCCAGGAGGACTCGCAGAGGCGGGGCGAGCATCCCTGTCCAGCGCCCACAGCTCCTTCCTCCTCTGCACGTCCTGCCCCCACCCACCAGGTCCTTCCCCTCCCACACAACACCGTTTTAGAAACAGAGAAGATGTCTCTAAATAGGAAAAAGCTCTTGTTTTCATGAAGTTTATATCCAGGTGGTTATGAATTTGGCCAATTTTTGGACATAGGACACAAATCCCAAGGAAGAGAAATACACTTGGTCGCAAAAGATTCCCACTTACAGGAAACTTGAAGTTTCAGTTAGAAGTTTGGTACCTTCTATTGCAATGAAATGTTTGCAAGCCTTAAGATGTTCTGTACTCTGATTTACTTGTTCTCTTTAAGCATTCATTCAAAAGTTTCCCAAATTGCTGTATTTTCACCTAAAAGAAAGTGACACGTAATTGAGTTTGAAATTTTTCTTATGGTCTGAATTCAAAGCACTGACACAGATTTAGTTTTTAAAACCTTAATTCTGTATCTAATGCAAGTTCAG